ATGGTTCTCGAACCCGCGGGCTCAGGCAATCCGCTCACCTCAGCCTCTCAAAGTGCTGGGATTACAGGCTAAGCCACCGACCCTGGTTCCTGACCCAGTGTATGCCTGTGCTGGGCACAGGTGTGGGTGGGCCGAGAGTTTTGGTGTCCAGCCATTTACCTATGTAACCTGCTAAGAAAATGAGCAGATTCCAAGGCTAACTGTAAAAGGGAAGTAGCTAGAAAATTTTGTTCAGCCCCCACACTGTAGAAGGGGTTGATTTCAACAGAGTGACCCCTTTTTGCTCAGAATGCTGCATTCTGAACTCTTTCAGGCTCCTGAAATATCAAGTCCAAGGGTGTATGTTGCCCTCAGTGAAGGTCATTTCACCTCTCCTTCTCACTCCCTTTTTCCTCTGCCACCCTCCACCTGAGATGTCCCCATGGGTGCCACCACTTTGTGACCAGCAGGATATATATCCCTTCTGAGCTGTGGTTCCCGTTAGCAGTGTTCTGGTTCCCTCTGACTGTATCCCTTGGGGAGGCCTGACACCCACACTGCATGGGCACTCGTTGTGTGCAGGGGAGCCACTGGAGATTCTTGACCTGTGTTTGGGAAACACTGCCCCGAGAGTTCTGGGGGTGTGTGGTGAGCCTCCTGAAGCTATAGGGGAAATTGTGTGTTTATGTTCATAAATCTGTCTCTCTTATGAGAGAGTTCTAATTAGCATTGGATTCTGAAATGTTTTCATGATCCTAAAAATGTTTAAAACAGCAACACAACCGCCACTCACTCAGAGATTTTCCACATACTTGTAAACTAAAGTTTGTGTTTTTATTAGCTGGGAGATTTGTGTCTGCTCCCTCAGTTTCCAGGTGTGAGCTACAGGTCGGGGCCCCTGGAGCTCTGTCCTGTGCTGAGGGTCACTGAGGGTCATGGTCTGGCCTGCTGCTTTGCCTGGAGGGGCAGCTTAGCCTCTCCAAGCTTCATTTTGTTTTTCATCTGTTAATTAGTGTTTATAATGTCCTCTTATGCTAACAGGAATGTTGTATAGAGATCACAGGTGTGTAGGTATTTTCTTTTTATTTTTTTTTTGAGTCAGAGTTTTACCTGGTTGCCCAGGCTGCAGTGCCACTGCAGTGGCACACTCGCCTCTCGACCTGCTGGGCTCCGGCGATCCTTCCGCCTCAGCTTTCCAAATTGCTGGAACTATAGGTGTGCGCTACCACACCCGGCTTATTTTTTGATTTATTATAGAGACAAGGTCTCGCCAAGTTGCCCAGGCTGGTCTCGAACCCTGAGCTCAGGCAGTCCTCCGGCCTCTGCCTCCCAAAGTGCTGGGATTATAGGCTTGAGTTACTGCGCCCGGCATTTTCTAAACTGCCAGAGGCTATGCAGTTGCGGATTGCAAGTGTCCCTAAGACAAATGTATCATATCTTGTGTCACACAGTGCCAGGGACACAGTAGACAGTCAATACATAAGTAACTAAAATGAGTATAGAAGGGTTTCATGGGAGTGAGGGGGCATGAGGTTCACAGACACTTGTATCGCCTAGAGCACAGCTAGGGCTGTTGGGGACATGATTTGCAAGGATTGTTGGAAGTACAAGTGACCTTCCAGACCCTCCATGTGTTTGTTTTATTTTTTAGAAGAAATTGAAACTTACAGAGACAGAGGCTGTTCCTGCCTCTTTCAAAAGGACTCGGGACCCTTCCTCATCTCTTTTAATGGAGGCCAGAAGAAAAACTTCTGTGTCTTCCTGTCATCATCATGGTGTTTTACCTTTCTACAACAACACAGAATTCACCCCAGGGTCTTAATTCTCTCCTCGGGGCCACTTAAAGACCTGCAATTCTTGAAGACGCTAGGTACTGTACTAGACCCAGGCATAGTGTACTGTAAAAACTTTGTATTTCCAGTGTCCTTTTTTCTTGGCGTGTTCTCTTGGACAAAACATCAGGGTAGAATTGATTTCCCCCCACTTTCAACTGGACTAATATTCAGAGACTCACAAAACTCAGTGCCCAAAGCAAAATGAAAACCAAGGTGTTCTAATTTTCTGTCCTTACAGCCACTCGATTCTAAATTTTCTCATCAGAATTCTTCCCTGTCCTTAGTAGTAGAAAAAACAGTAACCTGGAAGGTTTTTTTTTTTGCTTAGTGTTTATATGTTTGCATAAATTGAATATAATCTATCCCTCCTTTTAAACAATTTATGATAGAAAGGAGTTTGAAATAATGCTTAATCATTTATAATGATTATAAATAAATGAATGTTTTATAATGTATGATACAATGAATGTTAATTAAATGTTTCTTTAAAAACTGGCTTCTCATTTTTTGGCAACTGCATTACCTTTTTGAAGAGAGGTTTTGTTTTGCTTTTTAACCTGGTTGTGTGCTTTTGAAAAGTACCCTAACACAGGGTATCCGAAGGCAGAACATTCTGGCACTTTTCCCACTTTCCATCCTTTCTTCTGTATGGATGCCAGATTCCTTTGGGAAATCATCATTTACAAAAAGTCAGGAGCAAAAGGAGGGGCGCTCTTTAGTGTACAGTTACTGCTGATTGGAAACTAAACATCTGTAACTATGTCAAAGTTATTTGTATTTGAAAAGAAACATTTATATACAAGAGCCCTTTCGGTAACATAAAACACCCTGTAACACATAGTGCGTGTGTTGGAGGGGTAGGGGACAGTCAGACCGGGAAGCTTCCAGCAAACGGCTGTGCTGTAGTGAGTGAGGTCATTTGTTAATTAAATCTCAAAGCATTTTCAGAGTATTTTTTCTTTGTCAAATGAAGTTTCCCCCCCCACCCCCCACGGTCCCCCATAAACCAAAGCAGACATTTTAGTGTATTAGCCAGTTGCAGATTGAACACTTAATCATTTAACCAGAATAAGAAAATGGGGGAGTGTGGAAACTCTGTGGTTACCTTCTATAACTGTAGCCCTCAGTGTCTTCCAGCAGATGATGTGAGGTGACTCTTCATCTTGAAACTGTGTCGATGGACATACCTGACAGACCCAACCATCTTTGGCAGGGAAGGCACCACGATGTTTTTACTTTCCCCATACCTCTTTCTTCTCTCTTCCTACCTCTTCTTCCACACCACCCCATGATGAAATTCTGCTCCAAGCCGGGCTCGGTGGCTCAGCCTATAATCCCAGCACTTTGGGAGGCTGAGGTGAGTGGATTGCCTGAGCCCGCGGGTTCGAGACCCACCTGGGCAACTTGGTGAGACCTCTTCTCTACAATAAATTAAAAAATTAGCCGAGCGTGGTAGCGCGCGCCTGTAGTTCCAGCTACTTGGAAGACTGAGGCGGAAGGATCGCCAGAGCCCCAGCAGGTTGAGGCTGCGGTGGCTGGGAGCGGCCACTGAACTCCAGTCTGGGCGACGGAGTGAGACTCCAACTCAAAAAAAAACCCAAACAATTATTTAGCCGGGCTCGGTGGCTCAGCCTGTAATCCCGCGCTTTGGGAGACTGAGGTGAGTGGATTGCCTGAGCCCGTGGGTTCAAGACCCGCCTGGGCAACTTGGTGAGACCTCTTCTCTACAATAAATCAAAAAATTAGCCGGGCGTGGTCACACACGCCTGTAATTCCAGCTACTTGGAAGGCTGAGGCGGAAGGATTGCTGGAGCCCCAGCAGGTCGAGGCTGCGGTATCCAGGAGTGGCCACTGCGCTCCAGTCTGGGCAACAGAGTGAAACTCCAACTCAAAAAAAAAAAAAAAGAAAAGAAATTCTGCTCCGATTATTCTATTTGTACAGAAATTGTGTCTGTAGTTTTATTGTCATATGAAGAGAAATGTTGGTGATACCTCTGGGGCGTTGGAAACATTTCAGTTGTAGGGTCTGTTCCTCAACCTAGTAAACCAGCATGGTCCTCATGGCCTGGTCCTCACCAGTAATTTCATCTTGGAATACTGGCTAATTTTGAAAAAAGTCAAGAGGCCATCTCTTTTCCCTATGAAGTCTATCATCTTCTGATCTTCCCATCACTGATCTTCCCATCTTGGTATCTAAGATGTTTCTGTAAATTGAGTTATGTTTTTAATTGGATGAAAGATCGTGAAGTCTTGAGTGTTCGAGTGAAGAATAAGCTAAGACTTACCATATTGGACTTTCTTCTCAAACAATCAACCCTATATCTGCACAGTTTCAACAAAATGGTTGTGGCCTCTTGGGTTCTGAGTGTTTACAAAGTCAAGAGCCCTTAGACGGCCTGCCTTTGCAATGACTTGCAGAATCTCAAAATATCCCTTGTTCAGGACTTTCGCTATTTAAGAACTGGCTTTTATTCCAGCTCTTTCGGTGTGAGTCAGCCCAGAGGCAAGGATTTGGTGACTTGAAGGTCTGTCTCTTGTTCTCTTAACACCAAGTTCAGACTGTGTGGTATGCATCTGTGGCACTCCCAGGCATGGCCTGACCCAGTCCTCAACCCTAGCTTCCACTGTTGCTCATGAATCCCTGCATCAACCAGATACATCTACCTGTACCTCGAGCATCCCACCCTTGACTGTCCCTGGTTAAAACGATTTCTGATCCGGGCTCGGTGGCTCAGCCTGTAATCCCGTGCTTTGGGAGGCTGAGGTGAGTGGATTGCCTGAGCCCATGGGTTCGAGACCCACCTGGGCAACTTGGTGAGACCTCATCTCTATAATAAATCAAAAGATCAGCCGGGTGTGGTAGCACATGCCTGTAATTCCGGCTACTCAGAAGGCTGAGGCGGAAGGATCGCCAGAGCCCAGCAGGTCGAGGCTGCAGTGGCCGGGAGCATGTCACTGTGCTCCAGCCTGGGCAATAGAGTGAGACTCTGACTCAAAAAATTAAAAAATGAAGTGAAAACCATCATTTAGCATAAAGGAAGTGTTAAGAACATCATTTGGAATCAGGAACAGCTCCTGTCCCCCCCCTTGAATATTCCAGCCCAAGCAGCATATAATATCAGCATATGAAGAGACACAGATGAGAAGATGAGTATTGAATGGTCTTGTGTTTTTATTTCTTCCCAGATGTGGTCACTCGCCTGTCTACCGCTCCCGTGAAATGGCAGCTCGTGCCTTGGTCCCATTTGTGATGGTAGATCACATTCCTAATACCATCCGAGCTCTGTTGGCTACACTCCCCAATCGCACTGGCCAGTGTTTCCGGCAAAACCACATTCATGGGACACTTCTCCAGGTAAGGAAAGGTACTTTCTGTGACATCTGTCAGACACCATAAGATGGACTTTGGTTTTTCATATACTGTTAGCAGGTAAAGATTTTATACACAGACTTTTTTTTTTTTGAATCAGAGTCTCACTCTGTCGCCCAGGCACACTCATGGCCACCACAGCCTCAATCTGCTGGGCTCAGGTGATTCTTCTGCCTCAACCTTTCAAGTAACTAGAACCACGCCTGGCTAATTTTTTGATTATTGTAGAGACAGGATCTCGCCAAGTTGCCCAGACTGGTCTCAAATTCATGGGCTCTGGCAATCCTCTCACCTCCGCCTCCCAAAGTGCTGCGATTACAGGCCTGAAACACTGTGCCTGGCTTGATACCCAGATTTTTAACTTTCTCTGTGAATATTTTCTACTACTGAAAGATCAGGCATCTCCTAGGTATGCTTTTTTTGTCCCAAACATGAAGACAGTATTACACTGGGATTCTGTCAGATTATCTTTTGCATTAAATCCTGTTTTCCATGGTCACACATGGGCACAAGGATGGGAACAACAGACACTTGGCAGTGCTAAGGTGGGAGGGAGGGGGGATAAGGGATGCAGAGCTACCCATGATGCTCACCACGGGGAGGGGGAGGGGGAGCTTATTAGATGCCCACACCTCACCATCACGCAATATACCTATATAACAAATAACAAGTCTTCACATGCACCCCTCTTCTAAAATAAAATAAAAATAAATCCTGTGTTATCTACAGCATACTTTCCCATTCGAACTTACCTCATAGAACCAGATAAAGTATTGTCTTTTTCATTAAGTATGCCTGCAGAACATACTGGGCCATTCCCTGTTCAGGATGAAATGATGAGCATTCCTTGAGATGTTAACCCAAGAAGAAGCACAGGGAGAGTTGACCTTGTTGCTCAACACCACAGAACATGGAAATATCAAACTTTTCTCTCCTGTTTTCTCTGTGCTACTGGGAAACCTTTTTATTTTGAGTCAATATATGTTTGTTTTTAACCTAACATTTCTTCTAGAAAAAAACTGATGTACAACAAATAAAAAAGAAACTGACTTCTTACTGAACTGCCCTGTTTATACCCTAAGTGGGGGACAGGAAGTGCTGATGAACTCTTCTGTTCACATGACTGCTGTAGTCACTCGGGGGTGGGTCTGGAGGGGTTAAATGTCAGATGATGTTCCTGGTTCTTGAGCAGGGTGGAGAGATGGCCTTGAGGTCTCCATATATGTTATAAGCCTGAGGTCTACACTGCTGACATGACTGGCAGTTTGTAGAGCGATCAAAAAGGCATGGGACTCTGCAGCCAGACTGCCTGGGTGTGAATCTTAGCTCCATTCCTCACACTGGCACATCTGTGTCTTTAGTTTTGAAATGAGGATAATAGTAGCATATTTCACATAGGGATTTTATGAAGACTAAACTAATTAATCCATTTAAAGTGCTTAGAATAATGCTTGGTACATAACAAGATATATAGATAGTTGTTATTCTTATTATTATGATTAAATTTTTTTTTTTTTTTTTTTTTTGAGTTGGAGTCTCACTCCATCGCCCAGACTGGATTGCATCAACCTGCTGGGCTCCGGCGATTCTTCCACCTCAGCCTTCCAAGTAGCCGGAATTACAGGCGTGCGCTACCACGCCTGGCTGAGTTTTTGATTTATTGTAGAGATGAGGTCTCGCTTCCCAGGCGGGTCTCGAACCCGCGGGCTCAGGCAATCCACTCACCTCAGCCTCCCAAAGACGCAGGAGTACAGGCTGAGCCACCGAGCCCGGCTATTATGATTAATTTTAATGAACCTGTTTAATAATGAAAACTAATATTTTTAGTAGCTAAGTCCCCCTAGGTAAGATTGCAAGATAGGCCTGTCTTCTTTCCTTCCTTCCTTGATTGTTTTACATGTTCAGCAAGTGCTTACTGAATGCCTGCTAGATTCTACTGTGTCACAGTTAGAACAATGACAAAACCAGCCCTCGCCAAAGGAAAACAAAAGATCAGAGCACAGGCAGTCACAATGTAGTGCGTTAAGTGCTGGGTGAGCTCATAGCAGGGCCACTGAACTCGTCCAGGGGAAATCAGAGAATGTCCCAGAAAGCATCCCTGAGAAAGTGACATCTAAGCTGAGACTGAGCAGTTAGCCAAGTGAAGGGAGAGAACGGGTGTCCCATACAGAGAGAGCAATTTGGAGGAAGGCTCCAGGTCAGCCAGAATGCTGCCTAGCTGGGAGCTGCAGAATTGGGTGGAACTGATGTTTTCCTCGGTTGCCGGATCTCAAATTGGCCTGCAGGCCTCTTTACACTCTTAAAAGTTATCGAGGGTCCCAAAGAGCTTTTGCCTATTAATATAATTTAAAAATAAAACTGACAAAATATTAAAACACAAGAACTTACAAGCACATATTCCATTAGTTGTCAGGGTGATGACATCATAATATGCCTTGTAGCCTCTGGCAAACTCCACTATACACTCATGAGAGGATGAGAACGAAAGAGGAAACCAATCTCTTAGCATCACTTTGAATATAATTTGATCTTGCGACCTCCTGAAAAGATTGCACAAACCTCAGAGGTTCCAGAGTGCACTTTGAGATGGTCTGACCTGTGATACATGCATTATGGGCCTTTGGTGGCTTCTCTGTTATAAACTCTTCTGCCCTCATCACTACATCCCTGTGCTGGAGAGAGGGTTGGAGGTTATCGTACTGGTTTTAAAGATGGACCACTGAGGCCCAAAGATCATCATTTGTTCCCTCACACAAGTTAGACGTCAGTTGTGTCCAGTTCTGCTGTTGCTTTGAAGGAACAGTGCTGGGATACCGGGTAATGCAGAACAGGCTTTTCAGAGTGTGAGCTGCAGCTCACTTGGAGGGAAAGCCCAGCTTGTCAAGGCTCAGTCGTCAGATTCTCTGTTTTGAAGAGCCACTCTTGGCTGAACTTCGTCCTGGTGGTGTGGTCGGAATTGCTCTTCGGGCCCTCTCACCAGTTGTACAGATGGCCTTCCAGCCTTGTTTCCCACACACGCCGCCAGCGGGTCGGGCTGGGTTTCTCCAGTCTGCCCAGCAACAACACCTGGCCTTTTGCTCTGCCTCTGGGCTGCCTTTGATATTCTCAGGTTTGCTTTTTCTGCTAGATAAAATGTGCACAACATTCCTATGGAAAGGTAGAAAGCCCATAGCTCTGGGGCGGCTGTGACTGCTGCTCTTGTTCATAAGTGTTGTTGAGATGCAGGGTTGGTGAATAGAGCCAGCAACATGGGCACTGGGTATCGGCTTGTGTTCGTCAGACAGCTCTTGCTTTTATCAGGGTTGGTTTACCCTGGTTGCAAAAGGAAGTCAAAGGCATGTGAAGAGTCTTTCTGTCATGGCCATTTGATGCCACATCTGTGTTTTGTCAGAGTTCTGTTTCATCCTGTGGCTCTTTATGGGGAAAGTGTAAGGAGTTAAGTTGGGGAGGGTTCTTTTTCTCTTTCCTTTCCACAGCTTATAGATTCCTTCTCCACATAAAGCTACCTTTGAAATCAGCAAAAGGTCTGCACCTGGAAGAGATGGTAGGGATCGAAAGGAATGATAATCTCCATGGGACCTTCAGAGCCAGCTAAGTCAATATCAAATTGTTATTTTTTCAAAAGCAGGAAATCATTTTGTAATCAGAAAACAGATTCTTTCACAGAACATTTCTTGAATTATACATTTTGACTTCTTTGAAAATGTTTACATAAATATATCAAACTTCAGAGTATTTTTATAGTATACCTTGAAAACAAGAAATATGCTGATGTCTGAATTTTCTGGGACTCTGGAAGAAAGACTCAAATTATAGGACATGCAAAAAAAAAAAAAAAGAAAGAACATGTGGGATTCATTTCTTAATCATTTTAAAAACCAGAGGTTCATAATTGCAGTGTTGAAATGGTTGGAAGTAATACACATTAGAAAAGGTGAGATGATGCCGCAGGTCTGTAAGAGCCAGGGGTAAATGATATTAAATCTCAATAAAAGCTAGATAAGAGCCATGGACATTACCTCATCCGGGAACAGCACTGGCAGGGTTGATCTGTCTTTTAAGTAGCATTAAGCTTCTGTTTTTGTTGCCAAAATTCTTCATGTTGGGGACTTAGCATTATTACTAGGTTACTTATCACTCCCAAGAAATCGTGTTGGAGTTCGGAAAATTCTCTTGTTCTGAGGAGGAGTTTGGCCAAAAATCAGAGGAAAGATGTATTCTGTTCTTGGGAACACTTCACTTATATTTTGGTGTTTCATAAGGAAATGTATATACCATTTGAAATAAGAGTTTGGGTTTTAAATTTTTTCATTTCCTGTCTTTTTTCATTTTGGTTACTTTTTTGACAGTATAGCAAGTAAAAGGTGATCCATGCTCTTCCACTAATTAGGCTTTTTTATACTGATAGAGTAAAAAATTGACATAATTTAGCTTGTGTTAAACCAGAAAACCCTCTTTGCATTTAACTGGATATTCTATGCAAGGGTATTCTTTTTTTTTCTTTAATTTTTCCAGTTAACCCCAGTTTCACACATTTTTCCAATTAACCCCAGTTTCACACCTCCCTTTACTGGTATAAATATAATCTACATTTTTTTATCTAATGTTGGTACGAAATTTTTTCGGTTGTCAGCAGCAAAATCTGTCAAAGACTTTAATTTTTATTGCCCCCCACCCACCCACTAACTCCCAGTTTGGAGCCTTGGTTTCCATGCGTTGAGAATTATGAGTCAAAAAGATTTTACTTTTCTGGCTGTGGAATCCAGTGGCAGTGCTGCTCACTTGGTTGACATGAAATATGAGGGAGGGATGGACTTGAGCCGACGACCATGGCCTGCACATTTAGAACGTTTGCCATAATAGAGGTAAACTTAACATTTTGAGCACCTCCTGCATTCCATGGGACTTGCATATGGGATCTCGTAAATACTCTTAACTGGCCTGCAAGGAAGCACTGTAGGTGCCATATTTTCTCTCTCTCTCTC